CGGCGAGGACGAGGTCCACGTCTGAGACTGGGTGGAGGCCCGTATTGGAGGAGGAGGGCTGACGGTTATTGCGCGCTCCCCATCCTGCATCCAAAAACGGTATTCACCTTCCAGAACGGCCAGGGCTTCGGAAACGAAGGCCTCGTCAATGCCACTCGGGTCGTGTTCCACGAGGGCCAGCACCATCTCCGAGAGCAAAGGGGGCTGGGAGCGGTTCAGGTAGTAGATACGGCCGCCATTGGGCACGAAGCCAAAGTTGGCCACGTCGTCCAACAAGTTCTGCACCAGGCCCCGGGCAGTGTCCTTCATATCGCAGGCCAAGAGCCCCAAGACGATCCAGTACGAGTCCCAGTAGTAGCTTTCCCGGAAACGCCCGCCAGGGATTACCACTGGGTGCGTGCGCCGCAGGATCGAGTACCGCTGCGGGTTCAGGAAGACGTCATCGGAGACCTTGCGACAAAGCTGCTTCCAAAAGTGATTGAGCTCGGCCGCCCACCGTTGGTAGGGGGCGTGATCGGCGAGGGAAAGCAGAAGAGCCGGTGATTCCGAGTGGTCTGGCGGCACGTGCTCCACCAGGTCAGAACCGGGCGCAGTGAAATATTGGGTAAGAAATGCGCGAAGGACCTTGGTATCGCGGCGGAGGGCGGGAAGGAGAGCTTGGAAGCGCGCTAGGACCACCTCGGGGTCGACGCGCATGGGCATATCCACGAACTCCTTGGAGTCCTCGAAGATGCCGGCCGTCTGGACCAAGTGCAGGAGTTCGCCCTGGCAATAGACCTTGGCTGCACGCTCCACATCGGCCAAGGTGTCCTCGTCTTTTTCCAAGACAGAAACTGGCTCCTTGCTCCCTATGCCGGCAGCAGCCAACCCCCCCCCCCCCGACGGCCTCCTCCACCAAGTCGCTCAGGTGACTCGACCTCGCAAGGGGGCCACCTGCAAAGGTTCCTCGAGGAGAGCAAGGCGGGGACGCGACATGGAAGGCGTCAACTCGGACAGTTGCCATAGCTTTGGCGGTGGTAAGACGCGTATGCAGCTCTGAGGAGCTCGACAATCCTGTCTCAGGTGTAGGCTTGTGTGGCTGACTTTCGCCTGCTTGTTCCTCGGCACCTGCGTCCTTGCGAACACTGAGGCAAGCTGGAGGTTTGCGTGCCGCGCGAGAGGGAATGGAAATGTGACGGCCGATGCAGCCAGCACGGGGTGCCTGTACGGGGGTGGGGATACCAAGTCTGTCAGTCCAGCATGCGGCACGTTGCGCTTTAATGGTCAATAAGGTCACCATTCCGGATCTGTGCCACCAACACCTCACACAGAGGTATGCTTGCTACAAGCCAGAGTATATATACCACACCTAATGCACGCTCCTTTCAAAATCGCATCGAATTAATCAATGCAAGGGTACAAGGAAACATGTGACACCACCACGACTCAGCACCACACGCTTACGGTCACTCCCGTCCCGCCCACACGATTGCTCAGGAGGTGGCGCACGCTGTCCTGCGTTTCCACACGATTATACGTCCCCCTGCCACTCCCCTGCGATCCGTTTCATCTCTTGGACACGACTCACCTCACACACGAAGAACGACGCCATGGGTCGCCGTGGGATATTGAAAGCAATGGTCCCTTTGCTGTGGTTAAGAGCAAAAACTATCGCAACGCGCCCGCTTTTCCAGCGCATGGTACATCGTCTGCGTCTGATTTGCGAAGGGAAAAAAGGGGGAGGATTTGATGTTGACGTCGGTACTTGGCGGTATGGCGGTCTCTGGCTGCTTTGGTTACGTGACCTTCCAATCGGGGCACGTGGGCGGATAAATGTAGCTCTCTCGATGTTTTAAATTGATCTTCAATATTGATATGTGAGTATACGCCTGGGGGAGCAGACACATTGGTCTTGTACGTTGTACTTGAAGCGTGAAAAGCGTTGGAGCACGGGCGCCCTCGGGTTGACACAGCCGAGAGGGCCGATCTCCATGGCGCCGGAGCGCACGCAGGGTTGTCAGTCCCCCACCAGCAGATTAGGTGCTTTTCTGAAAAAAAAAAGAAAAACAAAGATGATGACAAATTTTTCTGCACACGAATACTTCAGTAACCCTGACAGATGCTGATGGATCACATAGATGGCTGCGTGGTGTAAGCTAGCAGTGTGACTCATTGAGATTTTGGCGCGAAGCCCGAAAATGATCGAGCGACAGAGGCCAATAGCCATGTCGACTCGTTCGTGCCCTGGTTTATGCATTTTAACACAATTTCCGAGCCCCAAGTTCAAATAAAAATAAAAATTATAAATGTGCACATTATATCGTATTGGAAAAATGTAAAGCTCACTCAAGAGCATGACCATGCTGAATAAAAAAGGTCCCAGCGGGTTTCTCGGCTAAAGCCTCACCATATTTGAGCGTCACTTATCGAATTAATGAAGGGGGAAAATTATTTGTCGAGGTGCTGACAAAATATTCCGTCATGATCTGGAAATTGAAGCCCAAAAGAGCATCAAGTCGCTCTGTTGCATTGAACTTCTTGTGATCATAATTCTTTGCAGCCAAGGCCATGCCACCGCGAGCGAAGAGTCGACTATGTCATGTGGAGAACACCTCCTAAAGACAAATGAAACTCTGCTTTGTGTGCTCAAGGATCCGATGAGGAATGGGAAGTCTGCCGCTTTGGACATGCCTTTGTAGTTGGTGTGTTTTCTGCCCGCCCTGACAACAGTGATGAGACGTAGGCTAGTAGGGGCACAGAAAAGAAGGGCTTGCGCCAGAAGGCGATGCTGGAGCCTTGTCAGGCTGAAGCAACAGCCAAAGAACTATGATGGCAGATCTCATGCACCACATGTCACTCATAAATCTGTATCTTGTTTCCATTAGCTCTTTGTAGGTGGCAGGAGCAGAAGATTCGCACGTCTTTTTTTTCCTGGCCTGCATTCCAACGTCTCAAGACAGACTCGGGAAGAGCGACGACGGAGAGACGGGGTGTGATCTTTGACCGCGACTTTGAAACAAGGCCGTCATGCAAGATAAGGATGTCAAATCAGTAATTCCATTTCATGCTGTACGACACAGGAGTGAAGGCAGAAGGTGGAGGGTAATTTTGCACTCCAGCCGGATTTCAAGACCTGCGTTAAGAGCACTCTCAGCGCTCCTCTTCCTGTCCCTATCAGTAATTGTTGACGCCGGTAGCCTAGAGACACTTAAGACGTTAAAAAATGCACAAGGTGCTTTGCCCTCCACTCAGTTATCAGCTATCGTCCCTAGACACGATCAAAGCAAAGATTTCGAGCTCTACGACGCACCAACTGAGCTCATGGAAGATGGCCTATCACCTCCGCCGCGCCAACCCGCGCAGGCACACACGTCGGAAAAAGATTATTTTGGAGTGAGAGGCGGTAATGGCTGGATCGATGAGGACGGCAAAGATGATATAGATGCCGCACGCGGGGTAATCGCAAATTGGCGCAAGTCAACCCCGCTGAGGCCTTGCTTCGGGTGCACGCCCGGGTTACCTATGGCCTTCAGCAGCATGTTCAGTGAGTGCTCTTTTGTCACTTTGGGAGCGCATATGGGCATTGCACCTGCTTACTCCAAGCTGGTCGTGCGCACCAATGACACAGTCTTGGTCCGGCTGGTGGGGTCCCGCCTCTTCTTCTCCGAAGCCAGCGACCTATTCTCTTTCCTAACTGATTTTTTGCATGGGACATGTCCAGAAAGCAATCGGCTGCAAAATTTAACGTCGATGTGCTCTTGGAATGGGGCGAGAACAGGGCCAGACATAGATGCGCCGCCCTGCACGATATACGCCATCAACGCCACCAAGATCCACGATCAGGTCCCTGGAGGAGCTGCACTCGATCGCCCACAAGCGCATGGTTTGTACGGACCGGGGACGTATCGTTTTTCCTTTCGAGACTTTGAGAACAATGACTTCCCATACGCCTTCTGGGTCTTACAATACTTGCGTGCTGAGCAAGCGGGTGGGAACCTGGCAAACGTGACTGTGGTTGGTCAATTCAACAACCAGCCCCCCCCTGTGCCGCCAGTGAAGCTATTCACAAGTGTCTTTATCGCAGCCGTGATCCTCTTCACGGTATTCGCCGTATTTTTCAACCCTTGGGTGGGCGCCGAAGCCGCGGACCTAGGGACCCGCGTTCCTTGGTTTCGACGGAACTTTTTAAGATCACACAACCTGGGTTCTGTGTCTCAGCCGAGATCATACATTCCAACACGTCGGAATTCTGCGTGGATGCCTTCGAGCAGCAGTGCGAGCGGCTATCACATGCGCTCTATGGTATCTAGCGAGGATTATCACCTATTAGAAACCGGCCCCTATAGTTCTTCTCCATCAACTCTGTGAAAATTTGACAAAGGGCTCCTCTTTTTTGTAGCTTCTGATAAAGGTATAACTAGCTTTTGTATAAAGATCCGCAGACACGTCTTGTATAAACAGTTGTGAAAGAAAAGCCGTTGACCTCCTGGCAATACCATTTCCGCCAAAGTCGAGCATTTTCTTTAAATGACGGTCGCTAGTGTGCTGCCAAGTGCAGTGATTACGTCGAATTCCAATTGTGCCGAATAACGGTTGGAAAATGGACGGAGGTGACACGGTGAGGCGCTCGTGTCCCCATCGGGTTTGCGAACATAGAAGGGGCCGGTTCTGGCGAGCTCTCGTCCGCTGATGACATATCCGCATCCCTCTTAGTAAGCACACACGCGTTGTTTCACAGTCAGTCGCTCTCACGAAAGACCACAGGTATGATACGGGAGAGTACTATTAGGAGCTGAGTACTATCTGTCTCGCCATTACCGCACCTGTGCCGACAAAAAGGACGGAAAAATGGCCTCCTCCGCGACCTTCACGCCCGCATTAACGCCCTTGGAGGCCTTTAGCTCGAGTGGCCCACCGCGCCTGCGCATCACCAAAACTGACGGAACTGTAATCTATAGTAACGAATATGAAGGTGTGATCCGGTTTTATCCCTCACCCTCTGAGGTCGTCTCTGCTATCGCCCACGCTGACGATCCTCAAACATGCGCGCTGCTGAGAGAGTGCGCTCGACAGGTATTTCGCAGAGGCCCTGTCGACAAATTGGCAGACTGGGGTGATCACTTTCTATGTGTAGAGGTCGGACCTCGAAAGGACGCTGAGCCGACTGGAAGCGGCTCAGGAAGGGAAATTGACACCGGGCGGCTGAAGTCCCTCCACCTGACTGCACAGAGGGGCGTGTGCGGGTACACGTTTAAAAGAGGAGATCTCTGCTGGAACTGCAGAAGCTGTCAGACAGATCCCACGTGCGTGCAATGCGACCCATGCTTTCGGGCCAGCGACCACGCAGGCCACGAGGTGTACTTCCACCAGGCTAGCCCCGGAGGCTGCTGCGACTGCGGAGACCTGGAGGCCTGGGACCGCGCAGGCTGTTGCACTGCACACTCGGGGTCGGACCCCTTCCAGGATCCGGTGGACAGTCTTCCCACGTCCATGAGACTCCCAGCACGGGTGGTGCTCGCGGAGGCGGTGGCCCTAGTCACAGACGCCTGCCTCCAGGCCGTCCAGGGCTACAATTCCTCCCACACCCACGGCTTCCTTGTGCCGGGCCCCGTCCCTCCCGTCGCGGACGAGGATTCAGGGCTCAGGAACCACCCTCGCAGCGGGGAGGACAGGGGTCACTGCATCTTGCGGCTGCACAATGACGACGTGCACACCTTCAATCACGTCACCGACGCCCTGCTGCGTCTGAGCATCCCCTCCGCCCGGGCCAGGACGCTGACCGAGCGCGTGGACTCCCACGGGCACGCGGCGGTTGCACGAGGAAGCGCTCCCCAGCTAGGGCGCAAGCTCTCGTCCCTGGTGGCTCAAGGCCTGCTCGTCTCCCTCGTGGACGAGCGCCAGAGCGAGCGGGAGGAGCGGGCGGTGCGGCTCTTGCGGTGGATGACGGGCCTGGCGACACAGGTGGAGGGTCTGGCCCGCATCCTCTCAGAGCTCATATCGGACGCGTGGCCCCTCCGGCTGCAGCAGCTGGGGTACGAGCGAGGCACGCGCTGGTGCACGCCTCAGGTGCGGATCTACCAGCCGGCGCCCGACGACGCGGCCCTCCTTCTCGCCACGATGGACGCCTCCCTCAGCCTCTCTGACCCCCGACAGTCTTCGCGCCTGGCGCTGCTTCTGGTCGCCGACTTCTTCCTCACCAACCAGCTGCGGACTGAGCTGCAGGCGCTCTACCTTCACCTCCTTGTCGACGCCCACTTCAAACCCGCCCTGGCCCGCTCCCTCACACGCTGCTACGCGCTCCTCAACAGCCTCTACTCCCGTGGCGTGGGCACGCAGGACGACAGTCTTTTCTCATTCTCCGTCCAGCTCTACACCACTCCCAGCATTGTCCGCTGGCTCGCCACCTCCACGGAGGACGAGGAGCTGCTCGGCTCGCCGGGCCTGATGCGCGTGCTCACCGAGGCCCTGCTCGCGGCCTTCCGGCTGGCGGGCTGGTGCGACGGACAGCCCCTGTCTCAGGGCTTCTGGGAGAACCCCCTGCTACAGCATCGACGCTACGCGCACTTATTGCGAGACATGGACTACGCCCTGCAGACGGAGGGGACCGCGGCTGGCGTCCTCCGGCAGGCTTACCCGGGGCCCGGGCCACGGCCTCTGCGGGCGTGGGTGGAGGCGCTGAGCATGATGCAGCACGCCGACCCTATGGTGCGGAAGACGGGCACACATTTGGAATTCGAGTCTTCGGTGTGGATGCAAGCCTTTACTCTGAGCTTCCCCCTCTACTCGACGTCCACCACGCTTATCGCACATGGACTCCGCGCGCTCCTTGACGCAGCGCCTCCCTCTCCTTCCCCTCCCGGTCACAGAGTGACAGTGAGAGAGAAAGAAGGGGCGAAACGTGGGGACGCGGACTGGTCGGACCGTCTTTTACGC